TCGTAGGATAGCTTGTGATCACCTAACTTCCTGTCCACCTGATGTCACTTATTTACAATTCTTTTATCTTCATGCATATCATATTCGCGAAAATGCCACATTTTATCATATTATTTTATGTTAATTTCATGGACTTATTCAACCATCATAATTGCCTTACAATTAGAATTTAGCAGTCGAATTAGCATATAGTGTTAGATTAAAGTTGGCGTATTTGTATGAGCAAATTAACAGGCTAATTATACCCATAATTTTCAATTGTAGCCGTTCTAAGTGTTGTCACTAGTCTCCTAGTATCTTTGTCATATTCACGTCTACTTACCTTTAGTTTCTTTTCTCGCAAGTCCAACCAATTCGTCCTAATAAACGTTGACAATAAAATACGTTTGTAGAATCATCCGAAACTTAAATGCTTTTCAATGTGGCAAGCCTGTCCCATTGCCGGTAATAAAGGCTCCCGCAATCACAGGTTATAGTCAACCTTATCTGAAAATTAGGTTTTATGACCTTTTTTATCGTGCGTTGGATCGGCCATCATTTGCCAAGGCTAAGCGCAATCCAATTTTAAACTTACCTCTTTCCTTAGTCTTTACCGGTGCATCTTACCAGTCCAATCCCTCATAACTCAAATTAATCTATTTCATATTATAAAATACGTTAAATTTAGTCGCTCCATTTAAGTCTAAAAGTTCATAAAAATTCAATGTTAAAGACCTATAGTGTTGGTTTGGCCTCGTTTTAGCAAATTGGTTGGTGCGGCAGGGACACCTTGTTGAGCATACTCATTCCACTAACCCACCTTGCTACGAGTTCTCTTGGGTCACAGAGCAGATGTGGATTTTAAGAAAGATCAGGCATTTTCCCATACCATATTCTTTGGTGAGATTGTCGATGAAACAGTTATATTTGTCATAACAATAGACTATATTACTTATTTTTCGTTTATAAGTAGGGTCTCGAGACTGCCGGTAAATCTGTTTTATGAGATGTATTTACGCTATTTCGTTTAGGGTGATGAAGGTCTGGTAGTTGAATATTTCCCACAAGAGCACATGGTATATTGTTTAACGTGTTGAGATTAGGCACATCATTGTCATGTTTCGACTCCTGTTTGGAGGTGATAATAAAACAGGCGGGTCGAAAATGCAGTCCACTCGGCATGACAACACTTTGGTAAAACGAAGCTGTTAAATTAAATGAAAACGCCAAATCTACTCGTATCATTGTAGTAAAATTGAATTACCTACCCTTCATCACCTTAAATGAAATAGGGTGAATACATCTTATATAACTCATTTCCATTAACCTACATTAATTTTGGCAACTTCTTAATCCTATGCAACTTTACAACTCCTCTTGATTCATTTTAAGCATAAATTCAGAGTAGATAGTACTCGCATCAGAACCTCCCCTGAGCAAAATTCCATTCCTTTGTAACGAGTTCGTATGTCGAAAAAGATTTTAACCTAAAGTTTTTAAGTTATTTTAGTCTCGATAATTTTAATTCATTTTATACCTTCATACTTTAATGTGAATCATAATTATCCGTAAGAGGCATGGCTCATTTTCTGTACTTAGTTCGTAGTTTAATAGGATTAAGTACTCGATATACTAAAGTAAATTAGCATGTTCGACTTATAGACTATTATAAACCATTCGATTTGCATGATAATCAATCATATTTTGAAAGCGTCACTAACATTAAAGTTTGTTCCACCAATTTGTCAATTATATGAGTTATGTATCGTATTATTGTTCATAACGAAGATATCTGAGGTCACCTCACCTCGAGATCAATCCTGCCAGGCTCAAGTACAATTAATTGAACCTTACATTTTCATGTTTCTGGTAATATCGCTAAATTGACTTATGATGAGCTGCATTACTAACCAGGACTTTTTTCTCGATCAAATCGTGCCACACCGAATGCACCACGAGCTTGCGATTGGAGGGTGCTAGATTATTATACGAGCATGCTATGATCATAGAATAGCACAGATTTTGATTACTTCATTGCCTATTTAAATTCACAATCTGGACGAGGATAGCTTTTTTCTATGCCCTTATAAAATAAGTTAATCTTTCTCTTTCTGCATGGCCTAATTCTTTGAATGAACTCATTGAAGATTGGCTTAATATAAAAGATAGAGCATTCCCATACTGAATTGTTGCATAGGTGAACTCAATTTATATTTGACTTTATTATCGAAGTTTTTTATATACTTACTAGAGCATAGTTGATGGATTTTTTCGCTCCTAGTAATTACCAGTTAGATAAAGAAGCGTTTGTCTATGTAATCTAAAACAAATACCCATCCGCCTATCCAAATACTTTAAAATGGCTAGCCCTTTTCCTCAAATATGTTGCTGCAAGCAAATATGTATATACTTTGTTGCCTTATATAAACAAGAACGCAAAAACAAGCACATATACATACATAGATACATTTCTAGATTTTCATGGCAAATTGCTCTAACTACTTCAAGCACTATATACTTAAAATTTTTAACTAGTATTTAGTATATATATGTTTATATGTACATACATCTATATATGGACGAGCTGAAATAGATGCAAAAATAAGAAAGATGAAGTCCGAGTAGCAACCAGAACGTTCCAGTAAGGCAAAACGACAGATGGTAAAAATGAATTCGCTTGTGTTCTGGTGAAATCGGCCTACAAACCTCATCATATTCCGATTGTAAGTGATTCCACCTGAAAAGGAATTTATTGGAATCTCGTTCTTTATTATGTCCTCGGTATCCCGGACCTAATTATTTAATATTAATTATAAGAATATTGGACTGATATATGCGCAACATTTTCAAGGTTTTCCAATTTCCTCCAAAGTTGAGCGCTACTCTATAAATGCCAAATTTGAATGACCGTACATACGAACAATCTAATGGAATTTCTCTGGTGTAAGCACAAATAGTGTCAGAAATTTGCAGTAAATGCTTTCTCATCCAGACTATACCGAAGTTTTGGCCTTACCAGCGCCCCATACATTAGTCGAGAATAGTCCGTAAGTATTTTGCAGTGACAACTTGTTGCTCTTAGTTCCTGCGAGTTATTATTTAAAGTGACCTTTGCCATAAATCCCATCGCTTCATTAAAGTTTTAGTGCATCATTAAACTGATAGATGTACTGAGAGTTTATCATAAGTAGAAACTTTGGTTAAACAGGTTTCCTGGATGTGATTCTCCTATATTCATGGTGCATTTCAGCTAATCCATTAATGCTAGATGAATATCAAGAACATTGTTTCACAATTACTAGTCGACTTGATATTCGCCTGTGACCTAGCGATTTGTTGTCAAACAGCCCAGCTTGCTTTGTATGGAACGGGGTCTATTTTAGATCGATTTTCTTTTATTCTCCAGCCTGTGAAATAGAATCAATGTAAAAAGCCTGCACAGAAAAAAAGTAATAAAATGGTATAAATTTGCGATTTTTTTAAAAATAAAGCTTAAGCTTTGGTGAAAAATACAATAGGTTTGCATACAAATATTTTCATACATTCATATATATATATATATATATATATGAAAAGGTATGAAAAGGTTTTAACACATACGAAAAATAAAAAAATGAATCTATAGGAATATCATAATTGTATATATAGATAGATAGATATAAAGAAAAGCTTTGCGTGGACTTATGTAAATGCGGGTAGGAAACCAGTTCTTCTCAGGAATTTTAAATAAAATAAAATAAATCAAATTTCCTCATGCCATCTTACGGATCACATGCCAGCGACTTGTTTGGTTATATCATTAGCACATACCCATAGGCATTACAACTTATTGACTTAATCTATCAAAAATCAACACAGGCAGGTTCGAATGACCTTCATTGTTTAAATTAATGGATGCACACTCGAGCTGCAAGCTGATAATTTATTCTCTCGTAATTATCTGATCCCTTATTCATTCTCACCTTAGTTGCTGGCCGAGGAGATCCGTCGAGAGCGCAACAAGCTGCTTCAGTGTGTACGCTACGTAGTGAAGCAAAACTTCTTTCTTATAGATAATTCCGCCTCATCCTCCAACCATTTCACGATATCAAATGACAACGGCGCTGCAGATGAGAATAGAACCAAGGACTCGACGCTCCCTAGCACTTAAACTTTTTCAGCAAACATCAGCGAAGAGACGGTGACTGTGTGATAACGTCTTTAACAAAGGTTTGATAAGAAAAAGTTTAAGAGAAGCAAAAGATTGCCTTGTGCATGAGGCTTGAATTTGTATAACTTGAATATTCTTAAAATACAAAACATACATGACCGGTGCTGGTGATGATAGAAAGGATCCATACCTCAGCTCAAGGAAGTCTGGAGGAATGCACAAGTTCCGTAAAGGGAATTTCGGTAAAAGCAAAGCGACCGTTGGATAAAGAAAATAAGGAGAGATGAGACGTGTCAGAATGGAGTAAAATGCGTATGAATTAGTCGATTTACCGAGCCTACCCCTGACCCACGCAACCGAAAACTGCAGGATTCTGCACAATGGCAAACATGATTAATGTATACATAGATGTGCTTTGGTGCATGACAATATGGTATATTTGTATCTTAAGGCAACATTGTAATTTGATGGGTGAGTAAAAACATGCCTAGATCATTTAAGGAGTGGACCATTGGACACTAGACAAGAAAGAGGTGAGGGGTAACTGTATCCAGAACATGTATTCAAGACGATGTATGGACTAAAGGCTGTCGAAAGTGAAGATTTGGGGCTATTTGGGGAGACTGCGTTCAAGGCAGATTCGTATATTAAATAGTAAATGGTGGAATGAGGACTGTGTATTTATGTGTGTTTTTATGAAGCAAAAAATTTTAAGGCATTTATAATCGGCACAATAAGGGCCTATATACACGCGCAAGCACGTGGGTGTACACAGGTGTAGAAGGCAGAGATGAAGAAAAAGGCGGGCGGGTTGGAGAAGGCAAGAAAGGTGTAGAGACAAGGCAAAGGAAGGTGAGTTCTTTGGAGCTAGCTACGGACTTGGGAATTCGATGTTTCCATAAAGGAACTCACCAGCTGAGGTGGTCTTGTTTGCGAGGCTGGTATTAGCATCAGATTGAGACAGCTTTGGAGGCGGGAACTCGGGTCCTAACTGAGGAGCCAATGAGTTAGAGAGAGGCATCGTGCAACGGTGGTCATTCCTGATGCTAGTGTTGCTGTTATCGCTGATTAGATCGACAGAATGGTGAGCGTAAGCAGAGACACGATTGTCTGTGATAACTGGAGTGTTAACAGGTAATACTTGAGGCGTCTCCTCGGCGGCTGGAGGTTCCGATGCTCGCGTTGAAAGAAGGAGCATTGAGGAAGTTGAAGATGAAGACGAGGTGGAGGACGAAGATGAAAATGAAGAAGTAGAGATAGTTGTTTTAGCGCCGGAAGCAGCAGCTGCTGCTGCAGCAACCACAACTGCCGATAGATGATTAGTGGTATCCAATAGAGCTATGTTGTCAGTCGGTCTACTATCACTCTCCACCCAGCTGGAAGAGATTGGAACTTCTGTTCTTGTTGGACTAGTTGGCAGTATGGTCGGAATTGAGGCAGCAGGTACAATGTCTACTTCGTCACTTCTTATGTCAGTCTCCTCCTCTTGGTCAACATCTTGATCCATATCTTGTTCTGGCTCATGCTCTAGATCGGCTTGCTCTCCGTCAATATGGCCCACCATTTCGGCATCTAGCTTAAGCCAGCAGCTGCTTCCACCCGTCGGAAAGGGTACTAGCTGGGTAGGATATCCTGAAGACGAGCGCGGCGGACGTCCTGGCCTGCGTTTGGGAGTAGACGGATCGGGTCGCTCGTGGATCCGTGGCCTGCCACGCTTTCGCTTGATTAAAGCGACGGGTGATGCGGTGCCAGACGGCGCTGATAGCTCATTTGACGCACTAACTAGATGACTGGCCAGTAATCCGGCGTCTATTCCAGCAGTAGTCAATGCATGCGGGAGCGGCAATGAATGTGCTGCTCTGGTAACCGAGGTCGGACAGGTATTGCTGTGCGCCACAGGCGGCTGATTTAATAGGCTAGCAGAGTCTTCACCAGAATTTCCATGACCGGGGTAGTGGATCCATTCGTGTTGACCACTTCGCATTAAGCAAGCAGAAGATGCACCCCGACCGCGACGCTTGACAAGGCCCATTGGGATCGGAAAGTAAGCACTACCCCTAAATCCACCTGCGCTAGGCCCCGAAGATACACTATCACCCTGATGGCCATCGGTTCCCGTAGTAGACGTAGGGGTTCCACTACCTGTTGTCAGACTAACTTCGCTGTAACGGCTCATCAGATCGGCGAGATCTATCTGCCCAGTAGAAGCCAAATGTGTGAAGGCTGCGGCAACAGCAGCAGCAGCAGCAGGCGATCCCGTGGAGGGATTCGATGAAGAAAAGAAGTCAAACGAACCGATTGGATGATTAGAGTCTCGTCGCTCAATCAGTGTATCCGGTTCGATTGAATTGTCAGGCCTGATTAGCACATTTTGTGATTCAGCTAGGGGAGGATCGTATTCTGTGTTCTATGGAGGCAAAAGATAGGCTATCGGGTGTCAACGACATTAATCATTAGAGAAATTAAATGCAAAAACCCGTATTAAGCATATAAAATTCAAAAAGGTACAGCTAGTCTTGAACAAATTTACGTCTTCTGTCTTGTATACTTTATGCAAAGTGTTTAGGTATCTGG